GATACTTATTACACTTTTCACCTCTTATTTAATAGTATAAGGAAATTATTTATTTTAAAGTTCATGATAAAGAGTTAAACATAATGAAGATTTTTGTGCAATATAAGTTTACCACCTACAAGCATGTTATATTGATAATTTTAATTTTACAATTGTGTATATTTTCCAAGGGCTTTATGGAATGCCTACAGTAGCTGATATTCACTTGATATTTTAACATTCTGCATTGAACCAATATGTGCAAAAAACTTAAATGTAAGCTAGCTAATATCAGCAGTGAAGACAATTTTATTGATTTTTATGAGCCTTTCAAAGTTGTACTATTTATGTCAGAAAATATTAATAAATGTACTTTAGGACAAGATGGAACTGTCCTTTAGGTAGAGCCCCAAAAAACAGAATGTGAGATCCAGCTTTCCTAAATATGGGACTGGTTTCAGCCACCTAAACTTGAGCATTTAATGCCAGTTTGGGATCACAGAGTTATGTGAGAAAAGCAGCTGTGACATAAGAACTCAGAAGCTTTTGGGCAGTCACCTGAAGATCAGCTAACTATCTTCAAAGCATCTGTAAGGTTCAGGATGCTGTGCAGCAGTAAGTCTTAGCTGACTTTGGGTGTGTACAATGCCTGTACAGAAGCTTATGCTTCTGTCACAGCAAAGACCACATCRGGACGGTCAAGCAGGTATTTGACCTCACCCTAAATTAGACATCAGCGTTTGGTCAAATAATTCAATAAATTCACTTTAGGATAAGTGATCTTCATTARTTATAATGGAAGCTTAGACTAAGCATACGTCTACATCCACTTAGCTCGCAGATAGAAAGTTAATGTAAGCTAACTGCGGGGAAAACTTACTAAAATATGTCCACCAATCCTTAAAAGCTCAATTTTTCACCATTTCATTTAGCATCATATGTTTGGTGTCTTCTTCATCTGCAGATGAGTAAGCAAACACCAAATCCAAGACTCTGAGAACTCRTTAGGCATACAGAATGGCTAGTAGCCCTCAGATGATATAAATGGTTAAGCTACTCTCACATGGGATTTCTGTGACACAAGCAGAGATCAACTCCAGTTCCAGTATTAGTTTACCTATATTGTGACCGTTCTATTTTATATTGAAATTTACTGTCTCAGCTTCCCTAGCCTGAGACAGAGAGAACTACTGAAAATCGTTTTACCCTACTCAGGTTTTCCCTCATCCTTTGGGGAGAGGAAGTTAATACTCACTTTTTCCAAAGAAAAACTCGGGTAATAAGTACACAGGGCAGAAACAGTTGCGGTGCATAATTGAGAGGAACAGATACAATACAGAGATCATGAAATCACACTTCTTTAAAACAAGCATGTCGGAGTATCAGAGTCGTTATACTGGGATCTGGCTCACCATTTATTTTCTTTGGGACTGGCAGCAATGATAACATCTAAAGTACAAAATTCTTCCTCTCTTTTCTTATGACTAATGTATTTGGCCATGTGCTTGCTAGTCATTAGTCACCTTAACTAATGCAAAGTCTTGCTTACTTGCCTATCTGATTTCTAATTCACAGAATAGTAAAAATATGTCTTTCTCATTCAAGTCCATTCTGCTGTTTCTATTTGTCTTCCTTTAGTGCTCTATCASTTATCTATTGCTTTCTTACTTTCATTTTCACCCACATATCCCAAACTCTTCACAATGTTTTTATTCTCATTTCCTCTGGCTGCTTTTGCAGTGCACCATAGAATGTCTTCTTTTTCTGCCTTCTTCAAGGATAATCATTGCAAATAGAAGTATTTATTCAAATATTTAAACAATTTTAAATGAAAACACTTGCCTAGGAAGTTGCACCTTCCTAAGATATGCAAGTTAAAATCTTTCTCCTGACAGAAAGAGACTGGTCTTGAAGTGATTGAGACCAGCAAAAAAAAAAAAAAAAGAATACTGTTGTATTCCTATAAATTTACACTTCATATACTTTCTGTAAATGTGTGTGATATAGAAAACAGAAGCAGACACTTCTATTGCAGCTTACTCTAATATATCAATATCAATATAAAAATGCCAGCCTATTATCAGACCTATCTGTAATCTAATCTTGCACAGTTTGCTTGACTTTTTTTTCCAATGGATGTGCAGACGGGGTTCATACAATGATGCTTTGTTCATAAAATCAGGCCTCCGTCTGGTTAAGACAGAGAACAGTACTAGAGTCAGCTAGCAACACAGCACAGCTATTTTGGTTCTTCACCCTTCTTTTATGAAACAACAAATTGGCCTAGAGTTAGAAAACTTTACAACAAAATCCATCAATACCAGAATTTTGAGCTAAAGTGACAGAATCCACAGCAGAGCTGAACAAAGCAAAATCACACATATTTTAATACAGTGTGCTTGACTGTGCAATGGAATAAGAGGTCCCAAGAAGGGATTTAGCAATGTTCTTAGGCCTGAAAAGTGTTTTAAGAGGCTACTGCTCACTACTACTCACCTGTTTTTCGGTGCATCTCAGATTGCTTTTCTCTGTTGTTCCATTCTCAGTGCATGCGGGAGCTCGGGCAAGTCAACTCTTAAAAGATATTGGCTTCCAAGACCACAATTAAAAAGTCTTCTCACACCACATTAATAAATGTAATTTATGAATGGGAGTATGAAGTTGAGTTATGGCCTGAGTTAAACACATAGTGATGACATAGCAGATAAGAATGTTTTATACATATTTGAAAATACTCCTGATATTGATGCAACTGATGCAATTGATGTATTTTCAATAGTTTTTACAAAAATCTGAAAAGAAGATCTGCTATTGATAGTTGTAGTAATATTGTTTTAGACAAGAGACTATCTTTGCAAAGTGTTTAACATTTTTGTCAGTATTTTGCTGAAACATATGACCATTTTTASACAGTGCATGACAATTTTAACACCTACATTTTAGATTAATAAGTACCTTAATTTTGGAAAGCTGTTCACATTACAAGATTGAACTGCATTTAACATTACTAAGGTTGTCTTTTTTTCATACATGAAATATTAGTCCAGGCTATTTTTTCATCTTCTCAACTTGACAGACAGTTAAAAAGAAATTATCTCTGTTGGCTTGTAATGGCCTTACTAAAATGTCTGTGAATAGTGAAAATGYTCTTAGAAAATCTATATTATGTAATATAAATAAGTAATTAGAAATTAAATACCWGACTTACATTTTGTATGTTTTTCCATCTTCAGTCCTTCAAATCTTGTTTGTGCAAAAGTCTTGTACCTTCTAAACAAAAATAAAAATCGTCTTCCTTTCTTTTTGACATCATTCAGAACATTCACCTAACAAAAATGTTCACCTCTATACCTTTTATTCCATTTTTTGGTCTTAGTAATTTGAATAAATTTCACATTTTGGGTAATCTGAAATTCACCTTTTAGCTTTCTTAAAATCATCTGAACTATATAAGAAAATCTCAGTATCACTCTAATCACTATTGTTCTTATGTACTTCATAAATCAGTAGAAGCTCATGAAGTTCTTCTTCTAAAGAAATTGCTGATTCCTCTCCAAGGAAAAAGGAATACAAGATGGGACCACTCTTACAAGGGAAAAGGGAAAGAGAGTACTGACAACTCCATAATTCTTGCAAATTAACACATAGAAAAAAAAGACAAAATAAATCACCTTTTAATGCATTTTTTAAATTCCTCTATATTTGAACAAATCAAATCTTTATCTTTCATGTGAACTGTGCAATAGACAGATTCAAGTTTCTATTTTTCCATGTGTTCTTCTGCTCAGTTTCACAGGCACAAAAAGTAAAATCAAGAGTAGTGGGGGCTGGAAAATTGACATCCAGGTAGAATTAAGTCTTCCCCTACAAAGAAAAGTACCTGCTCACATGGTGCACAAGCATTTGCTGACAGGAAAAAAAAAAAAAAAAAAGAAAAAAAAAAGAAAAGAAAAAAAAAAGAAAGGTACCAGAAACTGAGAAACTGTGAGCCATTTTCTGAATTAGGGAGGCAGGATTCTAGAAGGAACCTGCTGACTGATGGATTACATTTCCTGGTCAGGCCTTGCTGTGCTCAGGGTTTCTACTGACTGTTGTGCTAGAGAAGAGGGTTGGCACATTCTTCCAGAGATGGGGTTCCCATAAATCTGCTTATAAAATCCAAGACTCTTGTTTGGAAGAAGTATCCTCTGGGATACAAAGATCTTCATTGTTCAGGGAAAGAAGACAACTTCTGGTGAACACAGAAGATGTGGCAGGCAGGTTTGGTACCCAGAGAAGACAAGCAAAACAAGGGCTGCACGACTGAGCATTCAGATTTAAAAACAAGACCTTTTGAGAATAAGAAAGCTGCAGTATGAGTGTACCTGGACCAATGAGCGGCGTGTTGTTCTGGGTAGCGCYGCAATACTTGTGTGCACTCCAGCCCACATTGGTGCAATATTGGCAACAGGCAAATGTATAATGTGAACAGAGATGGACGAGATGTGGAAAACGAAGGGACAGGTGTTCATAAAGGGACTGCCAGGCCTTAGAAAGTATGGCTGGACTTCAGAAAGTCAAAGTTGTCCAAAAATTCACTTATATTCTGTGCTCGGTGCTTTACGTTTGCCRGAATGTACCCTTTAAATAAGGGATGCAGTAGAGCCAGGTTCTCACATATTTGTAGCCAACATAGGGGCAGAGACGCTGCCCTGGTCAAAACACGAGCCCAGCTCCCCCCACGGGTCCCGGTAGCTCCAGACCCTGCCACGTGCCATGCCAGTCCCCGGGGGCTGCTGCAGCAGGACTGGACGTCCCCGGGGACAGAAGAGCGCGGGGTCACCACCGCCACGGGCAACAGCGGGTGCAGGTGGCTGCGGTGGGCGCCCCTGGACCAAGGGCYGCTCGGGACACGGCCGCCCCACTGCCGCTGCCGCCGCTTGCCCGGGAGCCACCCCGGGGCGGGGTGAAGACGGGGGCTGGAGCCAGCGCCTTCCTGCGCGGCTCCGGGAGCCGCCGCCGCCCGCAGCGGCCCCGCAAGCACAGCCGGAGCGGTGAGGGTCTCGCAGCGGCGCCGGCGCCGTGCCGGGCTCGCCATGCTGCCCGTGTGGGTGTCGGGCGCCGCCGCGGGCATCGTGTCGCTGCACCTGGTGCAGCGGCTGCTCTTCCCCTACTTCTGGGCTGACCTGCGGTACCTGCTGCGGGTGCTGCGGTACGGGCTGCGCGTGGAGGCCTACCAGCGGCGGGGCCGCGTCGTCACCGTGCTCGACAAGTTCGTGCGGCTGGCGCAGCGGCAGCCCCGCAAGGCCTTCTTCATCTACGAGGGCGAGGTGCACACCTACGGCGCCGTGGACCGCAGGAGCAACAGGGTGGCGCAGGTCTTCCTCCGCCACGGCACCCTGCGGAAGGGCGACACGGTGGCCCTGCTCATGGGCAACGAGCCCGACTTCATCCACGTGTGGTTCGGACTGGCCAAGCTGGGCTGCGTGGTGGCTTTCCTCAACTTCAACATCCGCTCCAGGTCGCTCCTGCACTGCCTCAGCAGCTGCGAGCCCAAGATACTGGTGGTAGGAGCAGGTAGAGTATGTGCCTGGCATGTTGCTTCCACAGCTTTTATTGTCATGCCTCTCCAGCTGCCCTACTGGAAACCTGGTTTTCCAGGTGTCCACTGAGGCAAGGGACTGGAAGGGCCACCAGGATATTGTAATGCCCAAGCCCTTTGGGGCCTAAGCCCTTTTTAAAACCGAATCCAGTATAAGCATCCCAAGGGGACATGTATTGAAAGTGCTCTCTAAGAATGTACGTCGCAGGAACACTGCAGTGCCTGAGTGCAGCTTGTTACCAGTGCTTAACCACCTCAACAGTTGCACAATTTGTCCCAGAGGAGATTAAAATCATTTCCCATTCCTAATTTTTTAAATAGCTAATTTTATTCTTATCAAGTCATGTTGTTCTCTCTTTTCCTGCGCTGTATCACCATCCTCTTGTGTGAACAAAACCACCATGAACTAGGAGGCCTAAACTGCAGGTGTGCAATTTTTGTTGCATCGCTGTGCTTGGCAGTGTGATTGTTTTCTGCAGGTTGTCTCTTTAGAGATTTATTGGATAGGCATAGCATGTAAGGGGTTGATTTATAATAACCAACTCAGTGCTGGCATTGGATTATAGAAGTTGCTTTGCTTTGATTGAACAGGCAGTATTAGCGTTCTTTATATTATTTTCCAACGTATCTATTTAAAAAAAAATTGAAAGAATTTTTAAAATCTTGCCCTAGGTATTTTGTACAATGTATATTGCACTAGTTATAGAGATGGATAAAGAAGAACCAGAAGTCCAAAATCTAAATTGGCTTGTAGAGACTTTCAGCATTTATGGTAAAAATTTGTAAGTGAACCTATAATGCTAAAACATCAAACAGAGCCTTTTGAGTTTTTCAGTGGCGGAGGATATTGCAAAAGAATGAACATGATTTCTTGTTCTGCCTCTAAAACTCCTGAGTGGACTCTGCCTTTCTTCTTGTTAACAACTTCTTTTCCTATTCTTATCACAGTGTTTTTTTCCAACATAACACCAGATTTTTGCAATTTCCTTGCATTTGTTCTCTGCTGCTGTAAACATATGCTTTAAGAAAAAAATTRTTTAAGATTCATCCCTAGTAGATTGTTAATTTAATGTTTTTGTACATAGGATAGTATGCTCATTCAGGAACGGTAATTAAAACAAGCTAATGAAGTGAGAGACAACTTCAGTATGGTCACAAAATACATAACAACTTTCTTGAACAGAAGAGTTTTTTTTTTACCTTATAACTTAATAATAAAAATAATCCTGTTTAAAGCACCTAGTAGCTTTTGAATATGTGCTATTCATTCTATTCTTCTGTACTGAAGAACAGAATTTACGTTCAGGCAGTTCTTGTTCCTGGATGATGATTAAGGAGCATTTGGGATCAGATCTTGTATCTAAGAAGAGTCTTTAATAAAATAAGAGTTTAACTACTAAATGAGGAAAGTGAAGCAGGAATTGATCTGATATTTCTCCACTCTTAGTCTAGGAGCTATAGCTGACAGGTACAGCAACTGTGGTGATTTAACACAAGTTTGATTCAAGGACTCCTATTGGGCCACACACTCTTATACTTCTGCCCACTAGAGAAAAACTATCTGCAGACAAATTATATAACAGACACACACACACACACACACACACAAAATAAGCCTTACAGATGTTCTTTTGTGAGGTGGTCATCTTATCTACCCAGATAGTTGAGTTTTAGCTTTGCATTGTTGTTCAGTCTGCAGAGCCTCATGGATTCTTCACAATATTCTTCGGGACTTAAGGTCTTTCTTGTGGTTTTTTTTTTCTTTTTTTTTGTGAAAAAGGTCGAAATTCTACGTATCTTTGATTACTGGCTATCTCATATGGAAAGAGAGTTCCCTCTAAAGGGGTCCAAAATTCTAAGATTTGCAATTCAAGTTTTGTATACTGTCGTGTGGCTGAGGGCTAATTCACCTAAGTCTTCGTATAAGTGTTCATCCATTTATTATCATGTTACATTTTTAGTATGGCTTTTTTAAAAAGTTGCTCAATATTTACAGTATTTAAGACTAAGGATACACAGTCAGAGTTAGTCTAATCAACTGTGTATCCTCAGTCTAAAATATTAAAGGTTAACATCTTTTGGTCAGATGTTTATATATATTCTTTTTGGCTTTTTTTGGTGTTTTTTTTTTTTCAAGGACTTCTGGCTTGTATCATCAGTGGGCATGATCTAAACTTTATATATATGTTATATATATATATATGTATGTACAAAATACGTGTGTGTGTGTGTGTGTGTGTTGCTGTTGTGACATTGCTTACCACAGGAGTTTGGAAAGCCTGAACATGGTGTGCTAAATGGTGTGCAATTTTGCAAATTATTTACCCTTTTTTCAACATCTAGAAACAGATCAAACCACCTTTGTCATAGTTATTCATGAATGGATTCTTCTTTTAGAGTATTTCTTTTTTCTTCCTTTTTTTAAATCAAGTCTCAAGTATATTTCCAGAGTTGATTTAGTAACTCTACTTAATCATATGGAAACAGTAACAAAACCATCTTTTCAGTATTCTGGAGGTCTGTCAACGTAGCTCATAGCCACACAGTAGAAACCAACCCCCTACAATTTTACAATTTACTGTCTGTGCTCAAAAAGACCAGATTTTGTATTAATACTCTTGTCTGTAATAGCAAATTAAACCAGGAACCTACATTCAAATACTCTTAAGATTTGATTTGTGTTGATGGTGACATTCCACTTTCTGGTGATATCCTGGGATAGTTCCCACAGATAGATGTTCACTAAGGAGTCATCTCTGCTCATAATGCTGATGTAACCTCCCTCTGGGTGAGATAATTGCACTTTGTTTCTTCTTTTGGTACACTCTGTGCTTTATTTTTTTTCCCCAAAATGTTTTTGCTTGTTACAAATGGAACACTTTTATCCAAATAGGCAGGGTAGTACTTACGCGTGTATTTTCTTCCACACCTTGTTCAGTCTTTCATGCTGCTTCTTGCAAGATCTTTCTCATTCTGTGGACTTTTCTTTGAACTCTTCAGTTTTGTTTTGTGTCTGCATATTTTTCCATGGCTGTGGTTTGGTAACCCAATCCAATTAATATCATCTTGTTTTCCCTCCAGATCTGACTCCTGTGCTGATCTGACAATTCTGCTATTTTAATTTGTTTTTCTAACAAGATATTGGCATCTTGTAGTGGCCATTAAGTTCGAGGGTTTGGTTTTTGAGTTGGGTGTTCCACAAACTCACTTCATCCACACTTATTGCAAATGAATATTTGAATTTCTGTCAATGTATTATAAAAGCTTGTAGATTTCTCCCTCTGATTTTCTAGTATGAAATGGATATTATTAGAAGTTTTTCCTCTCCCTGGAAATATTCTTTCAATTCACATTCAGTGCTTACTTGCTTACTTTTCTTCTCTTACAAACACAGGCTTAATAAATAATGCAAATTCAAAGGACTTGATTTACCAATATTTCACTTTTCTGTTCTTCTTTCTTTCTAGTATTTTCATATTCTCATTTGGCTGTATGATAGAGACAGTTTTTGTGTTGTCCTCTTTCAGTTAGCTGCAGTATTCACAGAGCATTTCAATTGCTTTGGAATTTTTAGCACTTGTTTTAATTTCTAGTGTAATATTTTCACTCTTCCATTCCTTGGAACATCATCTGTCATTCCCTCCCCCTCTCTGTGTTCTGGGGAATGTTTGTTGAAAGGGATCCAAAAGCTAGAGTTTAAAATTGCATCTCTAATAAAACAGCAGTTAAACAGCAGGTAAGTAAATGAGAAATTTGTGAAAGAGAAGGAAGAGGTGGTATGCCTTCTTTACATCAATTGAAACAGTCTGACCTACTTAAAGGATGTTTATCCTTACTATTTTTGTTACCAATTCTTTCTCATTTTATTCATTATGAAACTACTTGATAAACTGTGGATAAGATCCTGCCTAGCAGAAGCTTTTAACTTGTGAAGACTTTGCATCCTTCCTAGAGATTATTTCAAGTCACTGGAGTCTTGCTTGAACAAGAAAGCATGCTTTATTTTTTAAGCAATAGTTGTGGGAAAGCCTTGACTATTGAACAGTATTTATAATCCCACCAGAGAAGTCCAAGTGGAATTTTCTACTGTGATTATCCTGTGAGAGGAGTTCATTTTTTAGCTGGACATCTCAGGTTGCCATCAGGACCCCTGATTCGGGGTTCAGCAGCAAGTTTGTATTACTAAACTCCATATGTCTGGTTTACATCAGCCCTCACAGCAAAGGGAGTGCATGGAAAATCTCCCAGCTGTTCAAAGTATAGCATTTTGCTGGCCAGGATTCCCTACTCTTCCTTCTGGACTAAGAAAATCATGGTTGCTTTCTGCCACTGCTCGGTATGGTCAGAACTTTTCATTGCAAGATCTCCAAGACAGGATTAATGCTGCCAGGAGTGAGGTTCATCCAGAAGGGGGTTTGCATCCTGGAGAAAGAAAGTAAACAGAATCTTTTTGGTGTTTGTGATTTAGGATCATATGGCATGCTATACAGTTAGCTAGATCACTGTTCATTTGGTAGTCACTGATTGTATGAAAAGTGAATGGATGAAAGCTGTTAGGATTTTGCCAAAGACATACAGGGCAAGRGAACAGCATAAGATCTGCAAAGGAAACTACTTTATTTGACACTCTCTCTCTCAAATCCCTTGCTGGTTTCTCTTCTAGACAGTAACTCTATCATAGATATCCTTTGACTGAAAAMCAGTGCCAACAGTCTGAGATTCCCTGGCCTGCTGTTTTTTACTGTCTTCAGTGGCTTCCATGGCATTTCAGGCTACCACAGTGATTCTGAGCCACACCTGAGTTGTAAAGACTTTTGTTATTATTTTTTATGTTGTTATTGGAAAAAAAAAAGGGGGGGGGGCTCAGAGGACTGACACTGGAAAATCGGGTGCAGATACCAATTATTTTCTGATGCCAGACAGTGTGGGAAAGAGCTTAGACTTGCCATAGCTTACTGAGCATATCAGCCAGGGTACACACCAGATTTGTTTAAGAACCATTTCATACTTTTTCTTTTTTTTTCTGAGTAACTTTCAGTGCAGTACAAGTTGATCTCATAATCTGATTTATTTCTTTCATCAGTGTAGAACTGTGTCTGCTTGCCAATGGGCTGCATTGTTTCTTTGTTYGAAAATAATATAAAAAGCCTCTGTGCAACTTGAAGCCCAGGACGGTAGTTTAAGAACCAAAACATATTTTGTCTGCTTTCTCAAAAGATGTAACTCACTTCTATGTATTCATATGAATTTAATGCAATGTACTATTTCACCAACAATTTGTTAAAAAAATTAAATTCTTGCCTTTAAAGAATTTTAAAAGATCTGGAAAAGTATCTTCATTTTCAGCAATTAAATTTAAAAAGAAATATTTTAAGTAGAAGCCAACTAATCAGAAAATGGCGAATATTCATATACAAAAACAATGTAAACAGTACAGAGAATAGTTCGTTAGCTTGGCAAATTTAAGATAAATAATGATTTCATCCAAAACAAATACATCAAAACCTGATTGTAATTTAATTGTTTAAAAGGCAAACAAGTACCCAAGATAAAATCAAAGTATCCAGACTGCTTTACTATAAGGTGACGTACCATCTAGTCTAGAAATTATTGAATTATAGCTTCTCCATATATTGGAGAACACATGGACAGGGCCTATATAAAAACCAACAAGCTTTTTACACTATCTTTTACAGAAATTCCTTGTTCATGGAACAGCACATTAGTTTGATTTCATTAGACTTATTCTGTAAGTGTGATAAGAAATCTTCTAGGAAGATTTGGATTGGATCTAGGAAGATGTGGAAGTTTTTTTATTAGTATGTATCTTTGAGAAAAGAACTTGGAATTGAAGTCAAGAGTTCAAATGATGGCTCTGGCAATGCCTCATTATGAGGTTCTAGGCAATTCTTCAGCTTTGTTTTTCCATCTGTAAAAACTGAGATAATAACTTACATTTACACCCACAGGGCTATTTACAAGATTAATTACATAGGCTGTGATCCAGCAAAGTACTTAAGTATAAATGTATCTTTAAGTATATGAATAGTTCTATTAACAACTATATGAGTATTCCTATTCTTGAGAATTTTGCTGGATGAGTTCTTTTGACAGTGCAGGGTTCTGAGAATATGACAGATTGTAGAATTGTTAAAAAATATACGAATACCAAATGCATTACTTAGGAATTGGTCTCTGTTCATATATTTTCTTATTTTTTATTCTGGGACTCTCTCATTTTTTCTTTCCAGGTTATTTATGCTACTGTTTTTTTAATATAAAATTGAATTTATATTTCTTTTCAGGAAATATATATTTCTTTTCAGAAACATATAGTAGAAGGAATGGCTTTCTGTGAATGTACATGTGAATCTAAGAAAATAAAAATTTCAAAGGTAGCTAAAATAATATTTGCTGAAGTATCTAAAACATTTAAGGACCAACATATGTACTCACATATTTTTTCAGAAGCACATGCCTGAACCGTATTTTTATTCTTGAAAATTCAGGTACCTGTATATATGATAGTGTRGATTTTTTTCTCTTGTTAAATGAGTCACTTCTCTGCTTTTAGAAAAAAAAAAATCCTGTTTGCTACTTGGTGCTGCTGACGACATTCAAGGAAACCTGCATTACARTTACCAGCTATATATACATTTGCCTTGCATCATGAGCTGATTTCTTGATCAGTTAATTGAAATTGAAGCTTARCTACCACATTTAGGTCTTAGAAATGGCCCAATATTATCCAAAATGAGATGGGTACCAGAAGAAAGCACTTGGGAAACAACAGTATTTGTGCCAAATCAAACACTATTTTCAATGWATTTCCATTCCAGTTCATCACTATTTCATTGTATTAAGTTATGGCCATTATTCTTCTTTCTATTATAAAACTAAAAATGGCAGGGAAAAATACTTCATGTGAATTTAGTTTTGTGAAGATGTAAAGTAAATAACATTATTTTATGTTGAATTTCAAGATCTGGTTGGGACTCTAGAAGAAATCCTTCCTGACCTTCCGAAAGATGTTGGTGTTTGGATAATGACCAAAGACTCTTCTTTGCCAAGTGTACATACCCTTTTAGACAAAATAGAGGCTGCATCTGAAGACTCTGTTCCAGCTGATCGACGCTCTGCAAACAACCTCAAGTCATCTGCTCTCTACATATTTACATCAGGAACAACAGGTAGAGGTCTTCAAAAGAGTCACTATTTTCCTAAAACTTTCTCCTGAAGCTGCTGCTGCTGCTTCTTCTTTTTTTTTTTTAAGCTGTAGTGAATACCTGTGTAATTTCATATACAGAGGCATTATATTTGGAAATAAGCATGCCTATTATATTTGCCAAATTGTGCAAATTGTGCAAATACTCTGAAGCTCTTCTTATTTAACAGATAAGGTTGTTTTAAAATGCTTTGAATATTCTGCTGGTTTTCAACTGTGATAATACTATTTTGTGATCACAAAATACAATACTATCTACAGTAACTATTGTGTATCTCAAACATTAGAGCTGTTATTATATGCAGAATATTAGAAAGCCAGTTTAGAATAGGCAAGTATACAGTTTGTTATTCTTCATTGTATTCAGGTCACTGCAGGGACAGAAAATAGRATTACATTATTAGCTTTTTATTTTAGAAACCGATGGCAGAATTTATTACCAATGCTCCAGCAGCAAAGAAGCTAAGACTTTTTTAAAACTGGTTACTGACATGTAGAGCAACATGATGTTGTTAAGATAAGCAGATTGGCATTCTCATTCAGATGAACACTGTGGTGCAGTTTAGCCATAAGAAGATTTAAAATCGAGATATGTTTTTAGCTTTGATCACCTGCACAAATAACTGTGTATTTTAGATTCTGGGAAATAATTTGGGAAATGAAAGTAAGGTCTATAATAATAATAATAATAATAATAATAATAATAAAATAAAAGCTATAAATGTCATTCAGAGCTCAGGCTTGAAATATTCCTAATGTAACTCTTGCACTTGCTGGTAAAAGGAGTTCTAGCTTAATATTATTATAGCATTTTCCAGGGAAGCTGCAGTCTTACAATTTCATTCACAATCACTGTGGAAGGGCTTTCTGAGTTTTTGTCATACATGATTTTACATATTTTTGAATGATTGTCTAACTTTAATTTACATCACATTTCTTATGTCTGCTGTGTAATTAGAAAGAGTTGTTTAGTCTGAAGACTATGAAATATGWAGTTTTAATCTAAAGTAATTCAGCATTTCTGATAATGCAGTAACATAATGCTGCTCATAAAATTAATTATCAGTAAACTTCATTAAAAGAAACTATTCTCTTGCAAAGCGTAACAGTAGCTAGCAGTTTTTAAAGACAGAAGAAAAAAGCCAGATCTTCTCTACAAGACCTCTTGCTGAAGTGCTTCGTTGACAGCATATGCCTATTTCTTCTGATCAGTACAATAGGTTCTATTTCATTACATTTCTTAAAGAAAAGGTAAAGGTTCCCTGTGTTCCTCATCAGGAYCAAGCCTGGATTTTGTGCATGTGTGTGTACATGTGTAGAACAGATAGGAATAAAGAATACTTCTCCTACTCCAAATAATGATACCAGCGACTAGCCTGAGGAGAGCTCTTGGCTCTGGAATGTGAGTCTTCATGTCACTGAACAGAAATTCCAGATCTGATGGATCTTGCCGAGAAGAGCCTAATTAGAATGAACTCTCAGCCTTTTATTTTGCTGAAAATATTTAATTCTGCATAGCCTTCACAATGTTCTAAGTTAAACAGCTTCGTGGAACACCCTTTTAGATAGCCAGCCACTAACTGATCAGACAGCCACTGATATAGATCCATACATTCCTCAGGTATATTACACTTACCTGCTGTGCTTCTTGCCTAGAATGACACTTCTTGTTAAAGAAGTCCCTGTGTACCCTAAATGCCTTTTGCTCTTTACTGATTCTGTGTAATTTTATAGTACTGTATCCCTCAAGTTTCCTCATGTTTCTGCCTATCTGAATTGTCTTGACATCTGATTAAGTGACTAACACATGGTTAGAAAATGGCTTGTTTATCTTTATATATATAAAGAATGAACACACAGAGTGCTTTGCTAGGCACCCAATTGACTGTTTAGATAAATGACTAGGTGAAAATTTGACTATGAAAGAAACTATTTATTCTGTTGTATAACAGAATATAGACCTTCCAGAGACAGAGGAAAAAAAGGAGGGGGGGGGGGGGAATTTTAACTTCTCCTTAACAGATGCTTTGTATCTGTGCTTTTGTGTTTTTATTATAGGTCTTCCAAAGGCTGCATTCATCAGCCACATGCAAGTTCTCAAAGGATCTGCTGGTCTGTGGGCTTTTGGTGCTACTCCAGAAGACATTATTTACATTACTCTGCCTCTTTATCACAGTGCAGCATCTCTCCTTGGCATTGGTGGATGCATCGAATTAGGTAGAGCTTATTTAATTTAGTTGTATTGTTAATGGAGAATTCATTATTAAAACAAAACTATTAGAACATGTTTGGCTTCAATGCCATTAGGGGAACTTTTACTATGCCTAAACTGAATGGCTTGTTTTTGGTTTTTTTTTTTTTTTTTTTTTATGGTTCGGTATTTTGGGGATAGAGGTGGATATTGGAAAGGGATTACTTATGCTTTCTTCTCTTTATTTTCTTTTATATTTGGGAAAAAGTATAGGCCAATAAGTAATATTTTGATAGTGTTTATAGCAAATTAGACTACTGGAATGGGGTTAACATGTGCTTAGGTGTACCGAAAAAGGCTGAAAAATACATAGTAAGTATACTTACTCTCTCTCTCTCTCTCTCTCTCTTTCTCTCTCTCTCTCTCTCTCTCTCTCTATATATATATATACAATGTTTTGTGTTTTATTGTCATTTGTTATCATTATTATCATTACATTGAAGTTGTATTCAATTTTTGGCATGGGCTATAAGTATTTTACTGAGACAATGTGACTGTCCTCAATGAATCTCTTAGTATAAATTTATTYGCAGTTTAATGACAGACATTTCCTGTTTTCTGAAGCATCAAGACAGAGATAGGGAAAAGATCAGATATATGGGATTATGGATTAATTCTACCTCAATTTACATGAATGAATGCATTTTTTTTCCTTAAAAATGAGGTTTCAGTGAGTATGAAATTACTTGCTAATTCAGGCTGATTATGCTGATTATTTCTGAGTATTTTTGGACAAATCTACAACACCAGCAAAAGGAAGATATCCTCTTCATTTTACCCATGTCTGTTAGTTAGAAAGAGATCAGGTTCRTGTTCTTTTTTTGTGGAAACACATCCTCTGATAAGAGATATTACCTATGAAATCACTTGASTGTCTGAATGGGGATGGTTTCAGTTCCTCTCCTGTTTTGTTCTATAGAAATAATGAACCTATCTTGCTAAGCTGCCATACAGAGAAAGTGGCTTATGTCGTATTCTGCTGTTTCCATAAAGGTGCAACTTGTGTGTTAAGAAAGAAGTTCTCAGCTAGTCAGTTCTGGAATGACTGCAGAAAGTACAACGTGACTGTCATCCAGTACATTGGAGAACTTTGCCGTTACCTTTGCAACCAACCCGTGGTAAGGAGAATCAAAATGACGGCTACCTAGCTGTTAGTTCTTTGTACACTTATTGTTCTTGCAGTATTTATCATGAAAGGGAAGTAAAACTACACTCAAATTGTCCCTCAGTTGTGTGAGGTACCTCAGCTGGTTGTTTGTGGACTGTAAAAATCAAATGATTGGAATCAGGAAAAACAAAATACTGAAGGAGAAGATATACAGAAGGCCTGCAGATCGAATCAGTATGATTTGGTGGAAAGAAATATTKTTTCAAGTTTCATAATTTGAGTACAGAACACTTGGATTACTGAAAAAATGCCTTTTCATATTTGTCAAAACTTTGCTTCTTGGCACAAAAAYGAGTAGGAACTCTCAAGCTTTGTAAGTTTTGTTTTAACACTATTTTTGCTTGTCAGACATACGAGAATTTAAGATCGTATTTTAGACCATATTTTACAATTTTGAAAAAGTTTGGTGCAGGTCAGCAAATCAGAAGTAAATGCTAATTTTCCCAATTAGAAAGCTTTTCCAGACAGCAAAGGTAGTTTTGTTAAAATGCTCTTCCTGCCTGAATCTGTTAGTCCTAACTTCAAAGTACTTTTTTGCTATCACTCTCCTCAGTGTTGTCTGTCTGCAGTGTATCAAAAACTGTATATAGAAAAACTGTTGAAAATCATTATTAATAACTGTAACTGTAACAGTTAACTGTATTAATTCACAGTCTGACTATTTTATGGCATGTTCTCATATCRTCCCACTGGAGTAGAGGGAGGCTGAGATGTTTTGGCTGTGAAATACCCAGAATTTGAAAGAATTAGTTCCAGACTTAGTATAAAATAATATTACTGGAATTGATTAAAGTCAGAATCTTTTGCATAGCAAATTGTTCCCACAATTAACATTTTAACAGCTAACCATTGTGCTTGRTTTAACAGGGCTATAAATGAATTTGAAAGAAAATATTCTTAACGAGTAGCAACTAAAATTTAGCATGTTAATGCTGGTGGCTGCTGTTCTATCCATTTGATCCAGGTTATACTGTCGTGTTTCAATAACAAGCACCAAATAGGAAATCATGGATTATTCTAGTAAAGCATTTTAATGCTTTTATACAGTATATTATGTTCACAAACACTTTTCATTTCTAATGCAGTTATTATACATTATATATATTATATATATATATTATACATTAAAGCAAAAAGAAATGTATCCTCTTTTAATTTAACACATTGTTTAAGAAAAAAACTAAAGATATTTGTGAAAATGCWTGGAAGTTGAGTGCATTACGCCTCATATCTCCTTGAAAAGTCTCCCTTTACCTCTATAAATTATCGTAATTTCATTTTGGATTTCAAATATATAAGCAGAGGATTATTTCCTGTTCAATGAATTTTATTCAAATGACTCCTGTTACAGGAAATAACAATGACAATAATTCAAATTAATGAAACTGAAAATTCTCTTCTAAGTCTCATTTTATGATTTTCTAGAATATTAACTTCTTACTTCAGCAGGATTTAATTAGTTCCAAAAGAATATTTTCCAATGGAATAAAAAGTTGGATTTATGTCACAAGCTGCAAACCAAAGAAGTTAATAGAAAAGCTTGGTGATCAGAAGACACTGTATTTTTTTTTGCTCCTGAAAATTTTAAGTAGTGTGAATAGAATTATAAAAGTGCAGAGGTAGGCTCAAAATACTTATACATTTATCTATATCTGCCTTCCATCAAAGAGAATATTTCTGGATTAAAAAGCATTACTACCATATCTAATGTCCCAATGAATACCACTGCTTGYGATGTGAATTCAAAATAGCGACAGTTCATATATATAAAAACAATCTCTTTTCTTTTTTTTTAAATATAAGTATGTAAATAAGAAGTATTTGAAAAAGTCARGCTCAAAACTTTGAGGTCCAGCTTGGTCATATTTCTTCATTGTAAGATAACACGATTTCCCCATAGCCCTATCTCTTTTATAGAGTATTTCCCAGTTTCTGCTGTTTGTAGTCTCAGATATTAATTGTTCCTTTTTTATGTCCTGTAATTGTAAAGCTAGAGCATGGCATTCTGCATTATACTATCTTATCCTGTTTAGCATCTTATTCTAAAATTAATATATGTCATTTTGTAACACTAAGTTTTTTTCCAGCTCCTTCCAAAACATATTAAAGTTAAAGGAGTTTTAACTCTTGCAAATAATGTTAGTTGTGCCATTATTAAATAACCTTCCTATTTGTTAATAGGAGACCTGTGAGACAGTTAATAAGTTGGCCTGTGAGACTGGCGAATAGCCTGTGAGGCTGCTTTTCTGCCTTATTTTGCTATCCAATTAAAGAGAAACTTAATGTTCCCTCCTGAAAAAAACACAAACAAACCAAACAGTCCCTCTCTCTCCTGCTCTTTTATAAAGTGAATCCTTTTCAAAGCTAATTAGATTGCTAGATTAGAAAGACCTAATGAAAAATAGTGACTATCATATTAGAAGAGAAAGAATATTACAGAAATAAGTGGAAGGATTCTAAATATATTGTGTAATCCAGTATTATTTTTAAGTAAGTGAAATTATTTGTTAACTTATTATCTGCTTTTAAGTGTCATTAATTTTAGAAGTAATACATATACAGTCAGTGTGCAAAACATCTGGCTAAGATGTGTTTTTAAATTGTACCAGGTGGTTGAGTAAAATCTACTGTGTGGGCTGAAGACACCGTGTGGGCTGAAGGGGCAGTGTTCTCAAAGTTAGGGTTCTGTAAAGCCCTTCTAATGAGCRTATTTTAAAATCAAAGTAATTTCCTGAAGTGCTTTATTTGGGTTTTTTTTTTAAAGCTAACACTAAGTTTGAATTATACCGTGTATTTGCAAAGAGTTTACAATGGGCTTCGAAACAGAAAAAGATGTAATAGATGAAGTGATTTTTCCTCTCCTGCTTATTCACACACTCTATCACAAAAGGCCATTTAGTTCTTTTCCAAAATACCTTTTTCTCTGTCACCTGCCAGTTCCCCGGCACATCTGTCCTATCCCACGTGGACAGAAAACAGCGCGTAAGATTCACCAGGCAGCTCTGTGGCTGGGGCATCCACACGGGAGCTCTCACTGAGCTCTCTCTCACAGGAGGTTGCTGCCATCACACTTCTCATTTAACACCCTGCGGACAGAGCTCTTGTCAGTTCTCCCTGGCAGGATAYAGATGCTCTTCTTCCTCTTAGCCTTCCTGCCTTCCTTGTTAGTTCTGTTTCGTTTGATCTTTCAGCCTTCTGCTSGCGTCTGCAACAGCTCTCCAAGGCTCCTTTGCAGTGGAGTTTTTCTGCAATCTGCTTTACATCCAGTTTGTTTTAGTAACAAACGTGTGGCCTGGAAAGAGTCACTCATTAGACAAAGGAGCCTTGTCAGCAGCAATAAGCAATACTCACCCCATGCTTTATTTTCCACACGCACAAAAATGCTGAAGGGTGTGATYGGTGCAGCTTTTGATGGGCAGCTAAACAAGGGAGTAGCCCCATGGCTTCCTCTCTCCAGACTCTTTCTTTTCCCTTTCTTTCCATCTCAATGAAAGTAGGAAATGTGTCAGTAGCTAAAAAGTGGCCAAGGACTTTAGCAGAGATCCGTTTCCCCTTTAAGTGAAGGCCTTCAAAGTAGTTTTATTTGTGAATATACTTACAGGTTTACAACATATTTAACATCGAATGTATTCCTGATGCACTTAATAATGTATTATCAAGCTAATAAAATATCTCTGGAAAATTTTGGGAAGATATGCATGCTAGTATGCAGTTACCTGTTTATGCTTTTTAGTAAAGGAGACCTGTATACTGAAACAGTATACAGACTTAGAAACTGGCTTTCTAGATCATTGCATCCTATCTACCACTCTCTCTCTCGTAACTTGTTTTAAGTTATGGCATCAGTTGTACGATCTGTAATCCCTTGTGTGAACTTGGTAAGGTCTACATTAAAATTAAATCTTGCTGATACTGAAAATCTATTTCACGAGCCATTAAATGATTGCTTAGAAATATTTCAAAGCAAAGAGATTGCTCTTTGAATATCTGTCCTGCTGTTTCTCCATTTGATATTTAGTAGGTGTTATTTTTTGGCAYCAGTAACATTTTCTATTTCCTTGGGGTTACTTCCAGTGTTTGAAAGCATTCACACCAACTTTCAGAATTTATTTTGTTAAACTGAAATTAGTTAATCTCTCTAGTAGATTCAGTTAAATAAGGTTCCTTTGGATGGGATTAAGCTATCTAAAGTGTCTCTAGAAAAGATGCTTTAGGATTTATTTTATTAAAACTCTTAGAACAATAGTGAGTTAAAAGAGGAAAACAAGGAAACTCATGTTGCTGGGATCTGCAAAGTTGCTCAAGTGTTGCAGGAAGAGTGAAASACCAGGGCAAATACCAGGGCCGCCAGCAAGCTCTGTCTTCTACAAGAAGCTCATTTCTCTGAAGAAAGGGAGTTTGATGGAGTGAGTGAACAACAGAAAAATGAGTCAGCAGGCACCCCTCTACCGTGCAGCAGTTACTTGCTAATTCATTTTATTACCTGTTAGAGACATGTTTTTGCTCAATTTATATTCAATACTAGATATTGCTCTCTCTCCTACCGCTAAGAGCTGTAGTGGAAACTTTAACAGGGCCTTAGCAAGTTTTAGCATTAACAATTTACTGAATACTCCAAATGAGATCTTCCCAACCCGCCTGGATGCTCTGGGTGTCCCTGCTGGAGCAGGGGGTTGRGCTGGATGGTCTCTAGAGGCCCCTTCCAACCTCAGCCCCTCAGTGGCTCTGTGGTTCTGTGCCACAGCTGCACCACACCAAGGCAGTCGCTGTACAGACACCGACAGCTCTGCCTTCCAGCACAGTCTCTCTATGACCTTACAGTCTTAATTATCTCTGGGTGTGAATTTTGCAATTAGTTTATTCTTCTGATAATCTGAGCTTTTTCAGTTTGTGACGGGTTGGTGACCAGGAGTAAAGTACGAAAGTACTAAGCAAACCGTTCTTAGTCCA